CGGAAAACAGTTCTACTATTCAAATTATACAGAAAAGGTATAATAAAGAAGTGTTAGAAAAGTATAGAAAACTTGGAAAATATTATGTCAAACTAAACAAAATTAAATTAGGTTGTAACTTTTTGAATAAATGTAAGGTTTATGGATTAATACGAAAATTTTTAAATTTTAAAACTGCTAATCTTAAGTTCAAAGAATTAAAACAGTATAAAGAAACTCAAAAAAGGTTTTTAGAAAGTGAAATTAAATATAAGGAAAAGACGTTTAAAAGCTTGAAGATAAATTACAACTTAAAAAGTTAAATAGTAACGTTGACTTCTTTTTCATACAGAAAGTTTTTTTTTATTTTTTCAGATATTAATGTTATGTAATACGAAACTCAAAATACACATTCGGTGGCAAAACCAAATACCATGACTACCTCAGAATCGCAGAGATATCAGTTTTAATCAGTCCAACTAAGTACATGGTAATGATTTTCACTTAAATAAGTTTTAAATGGCGTGACTCGAGAAGTTGCTTAAATTACTTATACATACTCTTTCTCTGTAAAAACAGCTGGGGGCTTTCCAGGTCAGTTTTGGTGTTATAGTTTCACCTCCAAATTCGTCAAATTAAGAGATATAAAACGTATTAGTTTTGTAGTATATATATCACAAAGATCCAAGAAAAATATTTATTTTGCTGTGTCATTAAGTTTTCCATCTTTAAATGATAATACTAGAATAATCTCGGCGATGATGATTCTTAAGAAAAGCGAAAAAAGAAGTTTTCCAAAAAAAAAGACCAGAACTGAGCGAATTTGGGTTGAGTATATACAGAAACATAATTTTTAAAAGGTTCTTCATATACATATGTTAGGCCATCTGGTGGCTCAGCGGTAAGTCTGAAGGCTTATGACGCTAAACATCGGGTTTCGATGCCTACGATGTGCAAAGCATAGATAGTTCATTTTGTAGCTTTGCGCTTAACAACAAATAAACAAAAACGGAATTCACCAGTGGTTTAATAATTTGGATAATTAGAAAGGCTTTTAAATATGCTCCCAAGAGGCAATCATTGTTGCAGGTGAGAGTTTAGACATGGCGACATCATCATAGAACCACAGTGTTTGAAAAATTGTCGTCTTGTTGCTTAATAAAACCATGTTTTTATAGAAAGCTAAGTTCATTTTTGCACATAGTTATAACACGTATACATTCCTTTAAAAATGAAGCAAGGGTAACTCATATTAAGTCAATACTGAATAAGTTAAACTACATTTCATTCAAGAAAGTCCTTAACATTTCACCTATTTATTTTCGATAATAAAAAAAAAACTATAGGTTTTTATTTGAATATAAAACTAAGATTAGTTGAATACATTACTTTTGCACAGCATTCAATGTTTATCTATTTTATTACAAAACAACCAACAAGAAAAATCCGTGAGTTCAAACGAAAAGGTCATCCCCGGAAAGCATCCCTCGAAATAATCAGGTGAATTTGTAGTACTCGCGCTGTTATCATAAATATAAATATTCCCTCCTGACTTTGTTGTGTAATCCATACTCATGAAATGTGCGCTTGCAAACAGGTGATGGAGTACATCTAGAGACACGTTGCTAGGCGACTGTCAAAATGATTAAGCGCGGTTATTTTCGCGCACGAAAGAAATTGATCAATCTCCTATGCAGGAGAGTTTGACAATTATGAGATCCTTTCAGGAAAGTAAGATAAGTCAACAACTTTCAAGTATAACTTCGTTTATAATGAAATAAAGTTGTTTTTACTTCAAACTTTTCTTTAAGCAGGAGTAATAAAAGAATAACAATAAGTTAACAAAAATAATACCTTGCACACTTTATATTCTAAAACATTAAAACTTAGTATTTTGAGTTGTGCAACTGTTATACATTGATTGGCAATGGATGTAAATAACATTGGACATTAATACATACATGATAGTAATAACAGAAATAATACAAATAAATTGAAAGTATAAAAAGTTTAGTTTGAAATGTACGTGTCAAAATTCAATTATTCACTAGCGTTTGAAACACCTTTAAGGTATAATATTAAAGTTATCTTGCAATATACGATAAACAAATATACACATATAGTGAAGGGATTTACTTATGATTTCGTTTGCTTATTTTTTATTTTGCATATGGATAACACTCATGTTTATGCAATAAAATTATATTAAGAAAGAGACAAAGATAAAAATGTATTGAATTATTTTTTTGCAATCGTCTTTTCATATTTTACTGTTATTTTTCAATAAAAATGATGTGACTTAAGAAAATTAGGTTTTAAATTAATTATTAGTATGTTTCTCATTAACTTTTAAACAACACAACACAAGTATCACATTTGTGTTAATTCTAGTTATAATATAATTTTATAATGCTTTTTTAAACTTACTTATGGTGATAAGGTAATGTCTATTGTTTTTTGTCTTTCTTTTAATATTAAATACTTTGTGTTTTATTCAAATGTTTGTGCTATATTCAACACAATACTCTAGTAGCAACGTATTAAACATTTCATATAAAACACACGTCTATGTTTGTTTTTGAGAGTTTAATCTAGTTGCATAGCACATAAACATGATGAATCAAATTAATATGCTTTGGTAACACATTCTAAAATAAGACAAATTCTTTAATAATTAAAATAGTGAGATAAAATTGGACAGTTTCCTTTTTCTTGTATTTATGAAAGATAAGTTCTAAGCATTTATTGCACATTAAAATGTAATGCTAATTATCTGAAATGTGATCTATCTAACACTTGTTAAATATTTTATTTATACAGTTGAACCTTTATTTTAAGATACCGACTAAAACACTGAATACTTCAGTTCATAGCAGCTTCAGCTGTTTATCTTTTTTTAACATTGCTAACCCTAGCAGTAGGATAAAGAAACATGATATCCGTTTTATATAAAAAATGAGTGCATGCAAACTTGAAAGTGTGATAAAACATAAAAGTAAGAGAAATAGTAATTCGTAATAATTCATTATTATTAGATAACATGCTTCATTACAATTTCTACTTCACATTATTTTCTCAGATATATTCAAGTAAGCGCCTCTTACTTGACTTCATCTTTTGCCTTTATTTCTTTTAATATAAAGCCACATTTGGTTATCTGTTGTGTCCACTACGGGGAATCGAACCCCTGATTTAGCGTTGTAAGTCTATAAACTTACTGCTGTACCACCAGGGGACCCTATTACTTGACTAATTTGATTACTGTTTTAAATAAGATTTTTGTCTGTTTTTGAAACACATTTGGACTGCTAAGTTCTGTATCGACTCACATTCAACAGTAAATACGAAATAGTTCAAATAATACTTTTTAGCCAGTTTTACCGTATAAAAATTATAATCGGTCAATGTATGTAAGAAAGCATTTCAGCCCCTATGTTAAAATAAACTTGCAAACTAGAAACTGTAAAGAAATCACACTAAAATCAACAATAATTCGTAACATTCTATTTTAACGCATTTAAAGGGTATTTTATAAAGCAAAATTCAGCGGTAAGTATGAGGGCTTATAAAGCTAAAACTCGGGCTTCTATACCCGTGATTGGCAGAGCACAGATAGCCCATTGTGTAGCTTTGTTCTTAAAAGCAAAAGCAGGATGAGCTTTCGGTCATATCTGGTCAAAGTTGAAGAAATGTCTAATAATACTCTCAAGAAATATTGGTACAAAAGTCTTGACGTTGTAATATGTCCATAATTTCTTGTTAAAAACTTTGCGATGCTCAAACATTTAAAATTACAGTTTTGAAATTTCATTTGAAAATTATTCAATATGAATGAAATCTTGTTTAAGAGAACAAATATTTAAACCCGTTAATAAGTTAACGTAAACTATTAATTAATTTTAACACTTAGTTCAAACCGTATAAACAATAGTAAAATTATTATAATTTGGATTGTTATTTATATTTACTCATCTGTGTGTGTCTAAGTGTCTTTACCTATAGAAGTACTAGATATTGGTTAATTTAATTTATATTTTATACGGTGTTATTTAAATTTAAAAAGCTTCTTATTTCACATATAAATTGTTAATCATACAATAACAGCCACAAAATAGAAGAAAACACAAACATACCAAACAGTTTGAAATGCTTAACGCCATGCTTTGGTTATTTTATAGGTGCTTCCAACATGAAACGAAACTTGTATTCGAAAGCCTTTTTGGAGATTCGTGTGGACTTGCATTGCTTTTCTAAAGTGCATACATAGTCTATGTTAACATTCTGACCAAATATAATCCAATCAGCAAAATAAAATAGAACTAGCGCTTATGTATATTATTCCACATACATTTGACAGATAGATAGAAAAATAGGTAAAAATTAGTTTCTTTTAATACACAAGAAACTTTGCTTGTATTAAATTTTTCTGCTTTTCGATATAATGTTTCGAAACTGTTCTGTTTCATATTCCGTCTATATGATTGGATATATGTGTTCTTTTGGTTGTATCGTGAAATATATTTAAAAAAAGATAATTACTTGTTCTATGTGTTTCAATTTTCTATTTGTTTATTCGTTCTTAAGAACAAAGTTATACAAAAGGCTATATGTGTCTGCCCATCACGGGTATCGAAACCCGGTTTTTGTCGTTACAAACCTTCAAACTTACTGCTAAACCACTGGCCAGTTTGCTATCATGAGAACTATATTTGTCTAACTAAAGATACAAAAAACTGTCGCTCTTTTGTTAGTTGCCAAAACCGACGTTTGATCTAAGCAGACTTATTTATCATAATCAAAGTACGTTATGCCTATACTGAGCTTAAATTCTCATAGCTAGAAATTTTCGATCAATACTCTATTGTTATTACTTTTTTTTTTTTTTTTTACTTGTGGATAAACTAAGAGCTAACAAACTGTTTTTATTATCTGCTTAGAGAAACATTTGTTGCTCGCTTGTTCCAAACGTAGATAGATGGCGCTATCTGGTGGTTGCCTTGGCCACCGTCAACTGCTACATCACCAGCCAGAGTATTTCCAGTTCGCCAAGATAACAGAGGGATTCATGAAGTCACATATGGAGATCACACCCAGGAGAGAACAATATTCAAGGCGTATTTTTCATTATTTTTTCCATTTGTGCTCACTCAAAAGAGTTCCCTGTTTTTAGTAAGTACGAAACTAATACTTTTGTTTATTTCTATTATAATTCTAACGTCTTACTTTCGTGTACTTAATAACCCCTATGCTGTTAAAGCAATGCTGGTAATCTAGAAATACTAACTGATCATATATTCTGTTCTAGCAACAATGCTTATCACAGTAATAACTTAAGCATGTGACTGTGTCTAGTAAACAAATATATCGTGCACCTGTACCAAAACTTATTTTATACAATAACATTTATAAAATCACATTATGTAATAAATATTATAAGTTCACAATTCTTACTAAAATTATTCATCAGTCTATGAAAGAATGAAAAAACATGTTCAGAAATTTGTAACTAAACAGATTACAGTCTTAAAATATTAACTATACACATGATTTTATTTTTTTATATAATTACTTATGAATACCAAACGGATTTTCTCTTGCTAACCAATTATTCATGTTAAATATGTTATAGTCAAAAACATGTCAAATGTTTCCAGTAAACTTCTAAGTTTGAATGCAACTCCTAAAGAAGTTTAGAAATACTGGAGATAAGAAACTTAAGTTTATATTTCATCTTTTACTTTGTTGTAAGAGGGTGTGTGTACTGTGGTATCCCTGCACAACATGTATTGTAGTACCGCTTACAATAACTGATGATATTTTAACTCTCATTAATATATACGAAACACTGCAAAAGCAAAAACGATGCTATAACCTGAATAAGTTTGTACTGAATCTAGTAAAACATTCGACTCATGAGAAAGAGTAGTCGAAAAGCTTTAACTGCAATATTTTCATTGGAAACTCGAATATAATGAGATAAAAGTGAAGTGTAAGAAAGAAAATAGAGCAATTTTGTTAAGAAAAATACTTTGATTCGAAACAAAAACATATTCAAGTTGATAAACAATTAATATGAAAATGATTTATAAAAATAGTTTATCAACTGATACATAAAACCTATTTATCTTAAAGGTAGCACGTAGCAGCATTGCTGTTATTTATTATATCAGTTTTACTTCTGAGAAAAACACTGAAATACTGATTGTATTTCTGAGTGTAATTAAGACTTTTAAGTTTATATCTTGTATGCGAGATTTTTTCGTGCGTATTTATTATCAGAGAAACAAATTGAACACCTAATTACGACTTCAAAGTAATGCTGTTATTTTATTTTAGTTGAATTTATTGCATGATACAAAATGTTAAACCATTTAATGAATTGAAACTTTGGAAACAACGTTTTCTAAAATGGGCTGTAATCCTAAAAAGATAAGTTAGCAAATAATTATTTGTAGATCTTTAAAATGGCATAATATCGAATCAGCTTTGAAATTAAAACTATTTAAACATCAGTAGTACATTTATACCGATAAGTAAATTTTAAAATCTCGCTAGATGCAATATAATTACAATAAAAAAACTTATTTGTGTACGAGTCACATTTTTCAAAGCTTTTCTATAAAATTAAATTACTTTTAAAAGTGTCTTCCGATATATTCAATTGCAAACATAGTTTGATTGATATGTGTGACAGTTTCAGTTAAGTGTCATGTGTAATTAGTGGAAACGAGATTAGAATCTACGCCAGTTTTATTCCCTCTCAATTTCAATTTTATTTTTGTTTAAAATGATATATCCTATGATTACTATTATTTTATATTGATAAATTCCCTGCCCATTCCAAAACCAAGAAGCCTTTGGAGCTGACAACAGTTAAACTCATAAAACAGAAACCCACCTTGTAGTTTTACTCCGAACAAAGCATAGATAAGCAATGAACATTAGGCACTTTGCACAGGAAGTGATTTTTTTCTTCTTAATCCTGCTCCCAAAGATGTATTCCTATGGATAACATAAAGAAATTGAAAAAAAAGACAATCAAACTGTGCATTTATAATTTATATACCTAATTATCTATTTACAATTTATTTACCAATTATCGAACAGCTGCAATTTTGAGGTTTATCGATAATTAAGATTTTTCTGTTTAGAATCAACTATTAGTTTTCCTAGTGTTCAAATAGTACTGACTTCACATCCATGAATACTTATCAATACATGTTTTCAACCGGTTGTATTTATAAGCATCTGTTGCCTCTGATTCATAGTTCAATTTTACATTACGTGGCTGACAAATAAAACGATCTCTCTCTTTTTAAAACTGTGGTTTCAGCAATAAGATATCTTCATAAAACATTCTTAAACAGTCTAAGTTTTTAAAACTGTGGTTTCAGCAATAAGAAATATTCATAAAACATTCTTAAACAGTCTAAGTTTTTAAAACTGTGGTTTCAGCAGTAAGATAACTTCATAAAACATTCTTAAACAGTCTAAGTTTTTAAAACTGTGGTTTCAGCAGTAAGATAACTTCATAAAACATTCTTAAACAGTCTAAGTTTTTAAAACTGTGGTTTCAGCAATAAGATATCTTCATAAAACATTCTTAAACAGTCTAAGTTTTTAAAACTGTGGTTTCAGCAGTAAGATATCTTCATAAAACATTCTTAAACAGTCTAAGTTTTTAAAACTGTGGTTTCAGCAGTAAGATATCTTCATAAAACATTCTTAAACAGTCTAAGTTTTTAAAACTGTGGTTTCAGCAATAAGATATCTTCATAAAACATTCTTAAACAGTCTAAGTTTTTAAAACTGTGGTTTTAGCAGTAAGATATCTTCATAAAACATTCTTAAACAGTCTAAGTTTTTAAAAATTGCTATAAACTTCTTCTGCGGTATAATGAACGATATGGTATTTACAAACTCCTGAAATTGATAATTGTCGTAAGATTCCTGGATAACATTTAACATTCATCCCTTACAATAAACCATGTTAAACATAAAGCAATACAATAGACTATCGAAAACCGATTTTTATCACTATAATCCTCAAAGTTACTGGAGAGCTATCGGGGTTTGTTTTTGTTGTTAAGCATAAGGCTTCACAATGGGCTATTTGTGTTGTGCTTACCACTAGCATTGTGAGCTTACACACTTAACGCTGAACCACTGGAAGTGGTGGTGGAGGGAGTAAGTAGAAAGAACGCAATAACTTGAACTATTGAATATGTAATATAAAGAGAATAACTCGATATTAATATTAGCACATGTTACAAGCGTATGGGCACTTCTTCCATAATTTTAATATAAAAAACAGTTGATGATGAATGTAAGAAGCAATCATGTTGTTAAGAATGAGCACTAATGCAACGCAAAGGCTGTTTGCTTTCGTACTCCCACAAAAGTGGAAAAAGTAATCAGCATGTAAGTAGCAAAAGTTGCATTTTCTACATTGGCATTTTGCCAGTATTACAGTATGTCCTTCCTAGTTCGATCAGATATCCGTTGTTCTTGCTTTTCCATCAGTTTCTCTTAAATATTTGAAACCTCTACAACCAGTAGTCAAAGACACGTGTGATGTCTCATTTGTGAGTCAACCATAATATGAACATTTTGCCGTTACATAACTTTAAAAGGAAAATGTATAAGATATGTATCTAAACTAGGTCTCTAAACTAGGCCTCTACACCGTCACAGATAGACTGTTTCTCTTTATACTTCGATATTTCTTTGTTAACCTGAACGGTATCTTATAGACACAATAAGCTGAACGGAAATATCAGTGATTCCTATGATCCAGACATAACCGTCCTTAATTTTAGCTGCAGACAGGAGGGAAGGAAACTAATAAAAAGCAGTCACCGCTCGAAGTGGCAACTCTTAACTGAATAATGAGATTGACTGTGATTCTTATAACTCATCCACAGTTGAAAGTAAGTGCAAGACGTATTTGTTAGCACCACGTCTCTACCCCGAGACCCTTGGGTACCCCAGTGCGATAGATTAACCATTAGGCAATGCTTGGGCCTTTACACACTACTTATTTCACACAACAGATAAATATCTATAACACCCTCACTGCAAGCATAATTCTGAAAATCTTCGCTAATAAAAGTTTTGCTATTCAAAAATAAGTGTATCCTTGTCTGTTTGTTTGATTTAGAGCAAAGCTACATTGGACTATCTGCTGTGATAGCCGCGGGAATATACCCCGAATTTTAGCATTCTAAATCCATAAACTTAACGCTGTCCCAATGTGAGCATATCCTTGTGGTCAATTTAAAAGATAACGCAGTTCTAATATACATATGTTTTTGTTTTTCATATATATGATGAATTTTAGTAAAGGTGAAGTTGGCCATGGTTCCAATAGTAGTTCTCTAGAAATGCATATACCGCAAAATCTCAACAAGGTCATTTATATTAAACCTTAATGTATGGAAAATGTTAAATTATTACCGCTCTTCTCTTTAATGAAACAGTTACTTTGTAAGTTATGTATACGTGCTCTTCACGAGCCAATAAATATTAATTTTTGCATAATTACGAACATCGAAACTGCCGTTTTGTATGACTTTATTATGAGCCATGGTTAATGATATGATTAACATTTTGATTCCAGCAATAACCCGATATTTACTTATTATTGTACTAATTATACATTGCGATAGATTACTAGTTAAATTTATTTGCGCAATATATTTTTTCTAAGTAATTTACATAGTTACTGTTGTAAAATGCTATGTATTTTTTATACTAAAGAATAGGTTGGAAAAATCTACATGGGAATACCGTGGCGAAATATTTAAACACTTTTATTACTATAGTTGAATTTTTAAACAAAGAAAGAAGGTGGACACGATTTATTTTTTCAGCTTTATTTTTTCAGTTTAAAATTCTCTTTAAACTAAAACTTGCAGATAAATATATATTATGAGATATCGAAAGCTTCTCTTTGTATTTATTGTTTAGCATTTCTAATACTCAGAATATCTATCAAAGAGATGAACAAAGGATCGCAAAAATTCTTCTTATTACGTCATTTACAATGTTATGTATTATCAAATATCAAGAAATCCTTATCACTATGGCTCCTGCCACACAGTGGCACAACGGTAAGTTAGAAGGCTTATAACGCTAAATACCGGGATTCGATATTCGTAATGGACACA